ACCTCTTTTGTAAGTAGCAATACTTTTCACACTCGTTGTTGGCTGCTGTCAAGTCAGCCTTCCACTCATGGCCACCCCATGTCCCAAAGAATCGGACTATTGTGATCTAGAAGGTTTTCAATGTCTGGTTTTTCTTTTTGGAAGTAAACCACCAGGACTTTCCTCTGAGATATCACTGACTGGACTTGAACTGGCAACCTTTCAGTTGACAGCTGAGCCTGTTGTCCGTTTATGCCACCCATGGACTCCTAATGCCCTTGAAAGGGTGTGATAATAACAACAACAATCACAGTGGCTCAGCAGACATTTTTGGTGCTCTAGGCCAGCACCAAGGAGCCCTGGTGGCATAGCAGTTAAGCACTCAGCTGCTGACCAAAAGGTTGGCAGTTCAAACCCACCCAGCAGCTCTGCAGAAGAAAAGACCTGATGATCTGCCCCTGTCAAGATTACAGCCTAGAAAACCCCACGGGGCAGTTCTACTCTGTCACGTGGGGTTACTATGAGTCGGAATCCACTCGATGGCATCGAACAATAGCCCCAAGTCATCCAGTAGCAATAGGATGCAAGAGACATGGAATTTCAATGCTCCAATGTTGTTGTTGTTGTTAAGTGCCGTCGAGTCGTTTCCGACTCATAGCGACCCCATGCACAGCAGAACAAAACACTGCCCGATCCCGCGCCAGCCCCACAATCCCTGCTATACTTGATCCCATCTTTGCAGCCACCGTATCAATCCATCTTGTTGAAGGCCTCCCCCTCTTTCGTCGACCCTCCACCCTACCAAGCATGACATCCTTCTCCAGGGAATGGTCCCTTCTTACAACATGACCAAAATAGGTGAGACGAAGTCTGGCCATTCTTGCTTCCAAGGAGCATTCTGGCTGCACTTCCTCCAGGACAGATCTGTTAGTTCTTTTAGCAGTCCATGCTACTTTCAGCATTCTCCGCCAGCACCACAACTCAAAAGCATCAACTCTTCTTCGGTCTTCCTTATTCATTGTCCAGCTCTCACATGCATACCGGGCGATTGGAAATATCATGGCTTGTGTCAGGCGCACCTTAGTCCTCAAGGAGTTATCCTTGCTCCTCAGCACTTGAAACAGTTCCTTCGCAGTTGACTTTCCCAATGCTACACGTCGTCTAATGTCCTGACTGCTGCTTCCGTTGGCATCGATTGTAGAACCAAGCAACGTGAATTCTTTGACAACCTCAATCTTCTCTCCATTTATTGTGATGCTGCTCATTGGTCCAGTTGTGAGGATTTTTGTTTTCTTTATGTTGAGAAGTAATCCATACTGCAGACTGTATTCTTCAACCTTCATCAGTAGGTGCCTTAAGTCATCCTCACTTTCAGCAAGCAAAGTTGTATCATCTGCATATCTCAGGTTGTTAATGATTCTTCCTCCAATCCTGATACCACGTTTTGCTTCATATAGTCCAGCTTCTCAGATTATTTGCTCAGCATATAGATTGAATAAGTGTGGAGAAAGATACAACCCTGACGCACTCCCTTCTTGATTTTAAACCATGTAGTGTTCCCTTGTTCTGTTCGAACGACAGCCTCCTGGTCAAGGTACAGATTCCTCATGAGTACAATCAAATGCTCGGGGATTCCCATTCTTCTCAATGTTGTCCATAATTTGTCATGATCCACACAATCAAATGCCTTTGCATAGTCAATAAAACACAAGTAAACATCTTTCTGGTATTCCCTGCCTTGAGACAAGATCCATCTGACAACAGCTATGATATCCCTTGTTCCACGTCCTCTTCTGAATCCGGCTTGAACAAATGCTCCAATAGCCACGTTAAAAAAGGCAAAAAGGCACTGGTGAAATTTTAATAATGTATTTATCCTCAAATACAATCACTTCAGCATGTGATCAGCATGAACACCATCAGTGAGATAGTCCACATGCTTCTGGGTGCTGAGCCATTGGCATTTGCAGGACATACCCAGATGGCACCTCTCGACACAGATGGTGCCCAGGGGCATGGCTACTGTGTTGGAAAGCACTGAGCACACTGTCCCACAAGGGGACATTCCAGTGACCCATAGGACAACATCTATCATTATAGGGCTCGCAGCCCAGTAGGGAGACAGAAAATGCAAGGAAATGCACACAGTGCATTTCTGGAGGACGCATGCAGATGTGAGAGTTGGGTTGAGGTTGGGCGTGGCTGTGACTGCGTTAGCCCCCCCGCAAGGAGGGGACCTTTGAGCTAGACCTGAGCGCTGAGAAGGAGCTAAGAGAAGACCTGGGGGAGCTATGGGGGCGGGTAGGTGGAGTGGGGCTGGAGCTGGGGGCAGGCTGGAGCAGGCTGGAGCAGGCTACTAGACATGGAGGCTATGGAGGTGTGGGGACTGGGAGCCTGGGAAGGGACAGGGCCTCAGCAAGTCTGTGTGTTACCCCTTATCCTTACCAGCTTCATGAGAGGTAATGCTGTGTTACCCCACTTCAGAGAAGGAAAGAACTGAATCAGCAGGCAGACTCCATGTGGGTAGGCACTCAGCCCCCTGGGGTGCAGAGGTCAGTGAGGCCTGTTAGGCAGGTGACCATGCCCTTTCTAGCACCTTCCATGTAGGAAGGTATCCCTCTGCCAGGTACCTTGTTGCCAGTTCTTGGAGGCTGGGTGGGTAGAGGCCTGTGTAAAGTACAAGGCTTCTTGCTCTTCATCCCTCTTGGAATGGGGGCTGTCATTCTTCACAGCCCTCTTAGGACAGCCAGGATCTGGGAGAGGCAAGAGCTGCAGTTCAGGGGGAGAGTGGCTGGTTTGCAGCCTGCTAGAGAGGGTGTGGGGCCCAAGTGGAATGGGGGAAGAAGACTCCAAGACGGCAGAGGTGGGATGGTCTGTCCCAAAGGTGGACAAACCCAGGCCTATGGCAGCTGTTGATCTGGAAGCTCAGGCAGAAAAGTGACAGGAACAGACCGAGGTGTGAGGTTGGTCATGGCCAAGAAAGTTGCCCACTGCTGCTCAGAGGCTTATCCAGGGGTCTGTCCATGTTAACGTCAGTTGGAACTGCAGGCTAAGGCCTCATTGTCAAGCACAGCGTGGCTTTCCTGAGGGCCCAAGATCCACACTGGAGGGCAGCTGGTATCCTAGGGGATGGAGCATCCAAGGATAGTAGCCTGTCCACACCAGGAGATAGGGCACAAGTGTTGGTAAAAAGCATGTGTGTCCCTGTCCCCTCCCTGGTGCCTGTGCTATACTCCTCTACGCTGGGTGGTCTTCAGCAGAGACCACTCCCCTTAGACTTGCTGCTGTCTTCTCCTTGTGGGGCACTCTGCCCAGCCTTGGGTCCTGCTCAGCTGGGATATGCCTGGGGCCCTGTGGACACTGGTCGAGGACACATGTGGCTGTAAGGCCTCTGGCAGGCCAGAGAACGTGTTGAGTGGATGGGGCTTTGGGATGTTCAGTTCACCCCACCTTTGATGGTGACAGACTCACAAGCAGGAGGGGGCTGACCTGATCACCTTACAAGCCCCTGGAGCCTAGCCGCGGCTCCTTGTGCCCTCTTGGTCAAGCTGTGGCCAGAGAGGTAGGCTGTGCTTTTTGGTTTTAAGCTGCAGGGTTGAGGGTCAGGCTGGTGAGGAGACATGTGCCTGCCGGGACAGTTCCATGTGGCGGCAGGCAGAGGGGCCAGCTCTCATCCAGTTCCGCCTCCTGTGCCACACAGGCCTCACACTCTATACATCCTGTTCCTCCACCCCAGGCGGATACTCCCCCATTTGCTATCTCAACCTGTGTTCCTGGGGCTTCAGGCTAGGGCCCTTGCTGATGGCTCTTCTCCAGTGTCATTGGCTAAGAGCCTGGGGAGCTGGGGAGGCAGGTGGGAAGGAGAAGGGAGAGCTGGGGTAAGTGGGGAAAAGCCAGAACCCCTGGGCTCCATCTCTGGTACATCATTCAAGTCTCTTCCCTGTCCTGGGCCTTGGTTTCCTCATCTGTAGAAGTGGAGAGCAGCAGTGCCCATCTTGAGCCAAGTACAGAATGAGAGGAAGTCCTGTGCTGGGAACTGGGAATGGTGCCTGACAAGGGTAGGAGCCATCCAGTCGATGCATTGTCAGCCGTTTTGTGTGACTCTCCAAAGCCCATCTCTTGTTGGAAGCCCCAGATTTGAAAGGAAGGTCTTCCTGGCCAGGCCTGTGGATGGCATCTGCCTAGGATCCTAGACACTGAGTGCAGCCAGCACCCCTTCCTGGGCTCCTGGTGGAAGCTGACCCATCCCCATGGAGGGTGATCCAGAGGATACGCCCTCTTCATGGACGGCTCCAGCTACCGAGTTCTTGCTCCTGGGATGTGTGGCCCTGGGAGGGATGTGGGGGAGTGATGAGGAACCGGGCTGCCAGGATGCCGGGGAGAACTGAGGCTATGGGAGGAGCTAAAACACTGCCAGGCAGAGAGATGAGGTGTGGGGCGCCTGAGTGTGGAGGGGACGCTCTGGTAGAGACCAAGGCCACCTGTCCTAAAGAAGTGTCTCTGGGGACTGACTAAGGCTTAGCCACTAACATGCAGCCCCCCAGCCAGGTCTGGATCTGGGGGTCAGACTAGTGCTTCAGGCCACACGGACACCCCCAGTGCTAAATGCCCTGGCCCTGTCTCTGCCCTGTCTGGCTACCTGGGCCTGGTATCCTTACTCTGAGCTGTGAGGTGTGGGGGTGACTTGTAGCAGGAACCCACGTGGGAGGCTGGAGTCCGGGCCTCTTCCTTCAGACAGACCCCTCCGGGCCTGCGAAACCCTGCTTGCACCCCTCCCCAGTTCAGTGGGTCCCCAGAAATCACGGCAGCATGGGGTGGCTGGTGGAGGGGGGCAAGGTGATTGTGTCGGTTGTTCATCCAGCACAAGTCGTGACCTGTTGGGGGGGCGCCCGAGGAAATGTTTGGGATGACTCGCGCGGCCTGGCCCTTTAAGGCTCCTGTAACCGGACACCTGGGGGGGCCGGGCGGCTCCCCTGCTCAGCCTCACTGTTTGTCTCTCCCTTCCCTCCCCTTCCCTCCAGTCCCAGTTTAATCTGCTCAGCAGTACTATGGACCAGATGAGCAGCCGTGCGACCCCCGCCAGCCCCTATACCCCGGAGCACGCCACCAGCGTGCCCACCCATTCACCCTACGCACAGCCCAGCTCCACCTTCGACACCATGTCACCTGCGCCTGTCATCCCCTCCAACACTGACTATCCTGGCCCCCACCACTTCGAGGTCACCTTCCAGCAGTCAAGCACAGCCAAGTCGGCCACTTGGACGGTGAGTGCACTGCACCTCCAGGGGAGGCCGGCAGGCGAGGGTGGGAGAGCAGCTGTGATGTCCGCAGAGGGTGTCCACTCGGCGGGGCTAGGAGAAGCATTGGGCAGGGGGCGGGTCTGGGCTGGGCAATCTGGGTATGCCACACTGGGATGCGTGGCTAGAGTTGGCCAGTCTTCCACAGGGACCTCAGGGGATGGAGGAGCCACCTCCTGCCAGCCTGCCTTCACCAGACTCTCCTCAGCTGCCTGCACTCAGGGGAGGCTCCTACTTGAAATCTTACTTGGGTGGGCTGGGAGAAGTTGGAGGCTGCCACCAAGGTCCCGGGGACCAGCTCCTCTAGGCAGCAAGGCTGGGCTTTATCCCCCGCCACTGTGTGTACGTGGTCATCTCCAAGTGTTAGCGTGAGACAGCAATGGTGAGGTTGAACCCTCACAATAGCAGACTCAGGTCCTCACTGCGGTGCCCCTGGCAGGAGCCTGGCCCGCAATCCAGGGCTTGCTGATGTTAATGACATTCAATGTGCACATGGCACTCACCTCAGGCCGAGCACCATGCCGCACACTTTAAGTACAGGAAGTACCCAACTTATGACAGGGTTTCATCATGACAACTCCACACTAAGTTGGTTCTGATGTAAGTTCGATACTTCATTTTTTTTTTTTTTTTGTAGTTTTCATTATTACTGCCTTTTATGATCAGTATCTTTGTATATCTGATCTTTATTTGTCTTTGGAAGTTGGAACCATTACATATAAATTTACAGAAATAATGACATCAAAAATTATATTCTGCAACAGTGAATGCAGTACATATTACTAATGATAAGATGTACCAAAAAAAAAAAAGTTTTTTTGTATGTAGTTCGCTGTAACTTGAAGTACATAGGATACTACCTGTATATGTTAATTCTCTGAACTACCCAGCAGCCCCCAGGTGGTGTTTATTCCCATTTACAGTTGAGGAAACTGAGGCATGGGGGGGAGGGGAGAAGGTAACTTGCTCAAAGTTATGTAAAGAGTAAGTAAGGGCTGGGATGGACATGGTACCTGCTCCAGCAGCTATGCTTGTGACCACTGTGCTATAGTGTCCCTACTGCTGCTGGGAGAGCAAGGGGCTCTCAGACCCCCTGGGGTGACACCAAGACTGCCCTAGGAAGCTTCAGGCTTGTCTCTGAGTGCAGAGACCAGAGGACAGTGGAGAGAGCTGCTCCAGGAGCCCCTGGTCACCCTGCTCACTGATACGGGGAGCATGAGCCTTGCCTGGGCCCCCATCTCACTGGCTATGAGAGATGCAGCCTCCACCTCTCAGAAGTTCCAGGTGGGGAGTCCCATGGCACTGCCCTGCCCTCCCCTAGGCTTCACTGCCCAGCTGGGTGCTCATCCCATCCCCACCTGGTACAGAGATGGGTGAGAACTAAGTGGCCTGGAGTGGCCCCATCCATGCACTGAGCAGGCACTCCTCTGACCCAGGCTCTGCCCCTTTAAAAGCTGAGTCCCACTGTCTCTACCACCCTCCTGGCTAGAGCTCTTGGCTTTCCCACGATCCTGGGTGGCTGGAGGTCAGGGTGGAGCTACAGGTAGCTGGTCCGGCTCTGCAGGTGGACAGAGGCTGCCCGCTCTGCGTGTCCTGGCTCTAACACTGAGAACGCTTCTGGTTTTTGCTTTGATTGTGAGCTCCTATCCATCTTTAGGGGAGCTCTGGTAGAGTAGTGCCTAAAGGCACTTGACTGCTAACCAGAAGGCTGGCGGTTCAAACCCACCAGCCACTCCTCGGAAGGAAGGTTGGGCAATCTACTTCTGTAGTGATACTGCCTCGGAAACCCAAGGAGGGGTCGCTATGAGTCGGGTCCGACTTGACGGCCCATAACAACAACAACAACATCCATCTTTAAGATAAGGCTCAGCCAGGCCTCGATGGCCAGATATGGCAGACCCCTGCCTCACTATCCTCATCTGTCAATTCCAACGCTCCTTCCTTCATGGTGCTGATAGGATTAAAGAAGATTGTTCTGTGAAGTACATAGCACAGAGTTTAGCACTGAAGGTACAAGGTACGCCGTCACCATGTGAGGGTCTTACTATTACTATTACTGCAGTTGTGGTGGTGGTTGCATTGGGGTTGTTAAGGAGCCTGGTCCTCCTGAGCAAGGTTGCGCAGCAGTAACTGCCAACCACTGGAGGCTTCTCTTCTCTTGGTAGATCTATTGCCATGAAGAGGATTTTAGGACAGCTCCTCCACTTAATGTTTGAGGCCTGCCTGGGCGACTGGAGTCAGGTCAGGAAGCCCAGGTTATGCACACACACCCTGCCCCAGCAGGGACTCACCGTTTCTGTGTTCTACATTCTGACTTGTTCACTTATCCTTTTTAAGGGGAACCCTTCTCCCTAACACTGACATTTGTCAGTTGGAGTTGCAGTTGTCTGATTATTTTGAGACCAGTTCTCCATGTGGAGACATGGCTGGCAATTCATGGGGGTCTGTCTCTCCTCCTCCCATGTTGTTTGGGGATGCACGGGGGTCTCTATCATGTCGGGGCTTGGAGAGCCTCAGAGGGTCAAAGCTGGTCTTCAGGCAGGGACAGGAGCTGCTCTTCTGCTGCTGCCCCCCAAAGCCAGTGCCCCTCGGCTGCCTCTCTGCCCAGGTGTGTGGGCATCAGGGCTGGGGCTTAGGGGTTTGGTCCTGTGGGGTGGTCCACCCAGCAGCTCAGGCCCCAAGCTCTGACTCCCACCAGGTGCCTGAGCAGTGGCCGCCACCCAGCCTGGGCCCCTCTAGGGCTCTGGGAGAGCTAAGAGGGAGCAGAGGATGCTGTTACAAAGCCCCTGCCCTGCCCCCTCCCTAGCTGCTACCAGTACAGGGGGTGTAGGTGGGACAAACATTGATAATGAGATTTTTGGCACCTTGGCTGTCTGGGAGCAGACCCCCTGGTGTGCTCCTTCCCTTGCCCAAGGAGGGGGCAGGTGGGTGGCTGCCTCAAGTGCAGGACAGGGTGCGCAGGCCGCCTGCTCACGCACGGCTCTCGGGGTCTGACTGTGCGGCGCTGCCCAGGCTTGTTGCTGAGCTCGCTGCCGCGGCCTCCGCACGCAGCCCCCACCATGCCGGCCGGCTGGTAACTGATAGATAATGCATATTTTTCTCAAGTACAATTCCAAATTGACTGCTGCTTTCATTCCTTTCCCTTCTTGAGAAAAACACCCTGACTGCTCCCAGGGTGCCACAGCTGTGAATGAGGTCTTTGGCCTCTGCCTGGCTGAGGCCCCCTGCAGTCTCCCACCCGGGTTGGGCGTGGCATTCTGCCCTGGTCAGCTTTCCTCAGACTGTAGATCTCATGCCTGCATTTCTTGGGCACTGGGTCTAGAGCCCTTGGCTCTAGATACATGTGTGTGTGTGCGTGTGTGCACATGGGTACACATACCACATGCACACATAGGCATGCAGTGCACCACAGATACATGTGTACATGCACACATAACACATCATGCGCACACACCACGGACACACATATACACACACCACACAGGCATTCACATACGTATACACTAATACATGCATGAAGCACAACACATGCATGCATGTATACACAGCATACACAAGCATACACACATCACATAGGCATGTGGCATAACACACATACACACACACCACACACGTGTGCACAGACCACACACATGCAGGCAGCATACCACACACATGCATGTGCATACACACACAAGGTTACAGCCCACATTCTGACAGGTCCTCCCCACAGAGGGTCCAGAAGGAGCTGGTACAAAGGTAACCATGTAGCCAGAGGAAAGATTTGTATTCGGTCATGAGCTTGTAAGCCCGGGCCATGGTGGTGGCTCGAGATTGGAGTTGCAAACGAGGACTCTGTGTAGTGGATGGGATGGACTTGAGACGCTTACTGGGGTCTGAATCCTGAGTCTGACCAGCCCATGGCTGCTGCAACACCTCCCTGCTCTCCAGTGTCCTGTCTGTAGAGGGCCGCTGTGAGTCTAGGAGCCTGGCTCTGTGATTTCTTAGGGCAGGGCTGGGCTGAGGGCACATCCTCCAGAAGTTGCTGTCTGCCCACCATCCCAGCCCATCAGGGCTTTGCAGGGAGACAATGTAAACCATCAGGGCTGCCCATGACAGCCTGGCACTGGTGGGCACCTGCTGCTCCTGGGTGGATGGACAGATGGATAAGAGGACAGATACAACTGGACCAAGGATGACGGCACCTTTTAGCCCTGTTTTACACTGTCCTTAGGAAGGCTGGTCCCCACCCTGTGGGTGACCTCGGCAAGGCTCCCTGGGCAGCTTTGGGGGAGCACGGTCCTGGCCTCTAGGTCCTAGGGGCTGCCCCTGAGTTGGCAGTAAAGTGACAAACAGTCCCCAGGACCCCACAGAGCAGAGAGAAGAGCAGCATTTTCCTGTTCCAGTCCCACATGAGCGTGTATGTGAGTGTGTGAGTCTGTGTGTGTGTGAAACTGTGTGAGTGCATATGTCCCTGGGAGACCCCCCCAGGAGGACCATGTGGAAGGTGGGCCAAGGAAGCAGGGACTCCTGGGTGGAATGAGGCTGAGTCAATGCTGATGGATCTGGGAGAAAACTTTCCAGCCCCTCAGAGCACTGTGAGCAGGAGAATAATAGCGGAGGTGTCCCGACACGACTGTGGTATCAATTGCGTTATCCTGAAAGTTTATGGAATGCATGAGTGGAATTAATACCTTTTACTGGCACCAAAGGCAATTATCTGTATTTAAGGCCGCGGGAAGAGTTCTAACAATGTTTATTGTGGAGATGAAACATGGATCATTAAAGGGAAACGAGAACACTTAGAAGAAATTGTAGCAATCGGTCGCATCGTGCCATTCTGCAGCCCAGTGCCTCGGGCGGGGATGGAGTTTCCTGCAGGCCCACAAGTGGGAGGTCAGTGCTCTCAGATCATGTCCTAAGATGAGGTCAGGTGGGCACACCTCATCTCTCTGCACCTCTGAGCAGCTGTGACCCCGAAGGTCATT